ATTTGGATGTTATACTATGTACTTGTGACAAGTTAAATCACTTACTGAACACCCAAAACATCAGACATGGTGCAGATAAAGTGAATGCGCTGACACTCGCCACCATTTTCCATAAGGCTACAGGCACTTTTCAGGATCTTCCAGGCTTCTCTGTCTCCTGCTGCTCTATTTATTTCACTCACAATCCACACAGTAGAGCAACTTCCAACAAACTGAAGAGGAATAACAGCAAGTTTCTTGTCAATAATTATCAGTAATTTGCAATAACACTGTTAGCTTTCCGATAATTTTAATACACAACAAACAGCAGTTCATCTTAATAAATTACCTCTTTCCACATTCTATCTCTTCCCTTGTTACAGTCCCCAGTTCCAGGAAGGTCCACAAGTGTGACATGCTGGAGAAGATCATTCCTAGGAACCCTGACAGTCACACACTTCACTAGTGGCCAATACCACCTCTTCACTTCTTTACCTTCTCCTTGATTTAGGTCACTTCTTATGTATTTCACAAATTTTGCAGATAGCTCTTTAGGCCTGCGTAAAAAAGTTAAATAAAAAACTGAGGGAATGTAAGGTGATTATAATTATATAAATGTCCAAAGTGCTTTTCAAATTGCACAAATATTAATTAAAAAGATAATTTAATTACTATCACTGAATGAAATATACCAGTACATCAAAAATGGGTGAACTGTAAAAAAAAAATGTGGAGGCAAATGGTCAATTCTGGGTGACTGTGATTAAAGATCAAAATTAAACATGATTGTAGTTCAACAACACCTACATTGGACGTTATTACAAGTATGTGTATTATCGTATCTTAATGCAGCTTCCCCTGATGACCTAAGTGTTCTTGAGGTGAAACAGAAAAAGCATATTAGAAACAGCTAATTACATCCCAGTCTGATACTGTAGGTGGTAGTATGTTATTTGACATGAACACTGCCTCAACGAAAATTCCTGTGTCATTTAATACCTTAATAAGACATATTTAGGTACAATGGAATTTGTCACAACTGTTATTTAGATTTATAAAGCTGCAGATAGTGTTGTCAGTGATTTTCTTATAAAGGGATAATTTGATGTTTCTCTAGTTACTGAGCACAGTTACATCAAGTTCACTGTTTTAAAAATGTACATTCGATAAACTGCTTTTAATTTTACATGTGTTAAATGCCTGTTGAAATACACCAAACTAGAAAGACTAGGCTGAAAACCTCAGATCCATATCATCTACTCTACCAAACAGGCAAGAATGTTGTCTATGAAGTGATGCAAGGAAGATGTTTTAAAATCTTACTTACTGATTTACAGGTTAAAATCTTCGGCTTGGATCTGAGAAATTCTGGAATTTCTCTGAAATATTTGTCATCCATCAGGTTTTCAAAAACTGTGTTTTTCCAGTTTCTTCCAATATCTTCTCCATACAACGCTGACAGCCTTTCAACAGTGTCAAATTCATCATCATCGTCATCATCATCGTCATCATCATCATCATCATCATCATCATCTTTTTCTTGATACGTATTATCCCCAAGAATATGGTACAAGGACCACAACTCATCTTTCCACTCCTAAAAAGCAAAAGAATGGTTAACTTAAATAATTAAATGGCATGTAGAGTAAACAAACAACTGTATTTTTGTTGATATATTGTCACTTTTCAACCATGTTCAGCTCATGTTACCTCCTTTGTAATGAACTCAATCTCTGCCTCATACTTCAGGCTGTGCATGTTAGTCTCCACTTTAATCATGACTGAGGTACATGCACTGCTATTGTCCGTGGGCAAAAGATCCTTCTCTCCAATGATCGCATTTATTAGAGAGCTCTTTCCAGCCCCAGCTCTACCAAAGACACCAACCAGCTCCTTCTTGTCCGTCTCCAAATCTTTTATTTTCTTCCTGTTGCACAAGGAGTTTAAATGTGGATTAAATGATTAGTTTATAAAATAAAATGTTTGTAAAAAAAACTAAATCAGGAAGATATCTGTAGCACTGTTCCAAAATGAACAAATCAGTATATATACACTAGTATATTTAGCAGACTCAAGTGTAAACCCAGAATTTGCTTTTAATTAAACCTTTAATTGATCATTAATTATTTTTTTGTTTTGAAAAAAAAAAATCATTACTAAATCAAATTTGTGGTTTGCACTACACAGCTCAGATATGCAATGATCATCTTAAGTAGAGATAACCTAGTATGCTAAGTTTTTGCCATTCAAACAGGTCTGAGCACCATGAGCTCTAAAACAAAACACTGAGTGCTGTCATCTTATCCTACACTTCACTTAATACAGGATTGGCAGTACTATAGACATACATTTGTAATTCATCAGAAGTACAGAACTCAAAATTACATTTTCACTCAAGACAAATCAGTATATACACTAGTATATTTAGCAGACTCAACAGTGTGAACCCAGATTTAGGTTTTAATTAAAACTTTGATCATTAATTATTTTTTTGTTTTGAAAAAAAAAATCTCATTACTAAATCAGATTAGTGGTTTGCACTACACAGCTGAGATATGCAATGAACATGTTAAATAGAGATAATTTAGTATGTACATTTTTTGCCATTCAAACAGGTCTGAGCACCATGAGATCCAAGGGGCAGAAAAACATAAAACAAAACACTGAGCGCTGTCATCTTACCCTACACTTCACTTAATACAGTGGCAGTACTATAGACATAAATTTGTAATCTGTCAGAATTTCAGAACTCAAAATTACATTTTCACTCAAGACTTCTTGTGGACTGTGCACTGGAAAACGTGATGATTGACATGATTGTCATTTCATGTTAATCTAGCTGAAAATGTCTTTTTTCAGACCACTAAACAGGTAAATTGAATGAATGAACTACTAAGAGTTCATTAAATGAAGTTTGTTAAGCAAAATTAAACAAAATTAGCATACTTCCCAGCATGCATTGTTGGAGAGTTAAACACTTCAGAAATTCTTCTTTTTGTATTCTGAGGAGCCTATTCACAGACTCATTGTGTTTGTAATATAAGCTATATTAAATAAACTCATAGTTGTTTCTTTTCATAATAATGAAAACAATGGAAACCATAATGAAGGTTAGTATTGAATTCAGTCCCTACACCTTACAAGGTATATTTGGGTGAAGCCTTTTAAAGTATGTCTCTGTACTGATTTTAGTACAGAGTGTTTCTATTAGGTGCAAATGAAGAACTGACTTAAGTGAAGTTTTACTTGCTTTACCTTAAGATATTCATTGAAATGATTGAGTAAAGCAATTGATGTTACAAGTGAATTAATATCATGGGATTTAGTACACTGAAATAAAATTTTAAATGGAAAAATAGAGCAAAGAAATTGATATTATAAAAGATTTTAAGTTGAATAAACTTTAGTGTATTCAACTTAAAATACAAAGTTTAGTCCCTCAGGTTTTTAAGTTAAATTTGCACAAGTTATCACACATTACTTCATGTTTAATAAGGCAATCAAGTTTGCTCAAATTTTTTAAGTAAATTCAACTTATCCGGGCTAACAGTGAAAAGGAATCAATTTACACTGATGTGTTGTGTGCAAAAGTCTAATACTGACAAAGGCTTTTACATTCTCCTGTCTATCCACCTTTGATATGATGCCAACTAAATACCAGCTATATAAATTAAATCCTTTCAACCAAAAATAGTGTTAAAAACACACTTGAGTACTGCGTGACAAAGTTTAGCTTTAGGTAGTGCAATAGGAAACACGTTTTCCACTTGGATCTGACCGTCGATTGACTGCTGGCCAAGATGGCGGCGTGTACGTACGCAGCGGCTCGGGGCTCTCTGCTTTTTGTTTTTCTATTCGTATATTTGTTCGTGTTTTTGTTGTCATTACAGTTTTCTGAAGCCACCATTCAGTATGGAAGAGCTGAATTACTTACTATTGGGAAACAATATGAACTTTACGCATCCGGATTTTATTCCACCAGAGTTACAACGGACCACTACGGTTCTCACCATCCCCCCTTTGTGGCCAAGGAGATGGAGGCGACACCGTAAACAAAAGAGGGGTAAGAGAAGCGGCCTGCGTGCTAGGCTACGTGCTAACCCACACAGGCCAGCGCTCCCTAGTCTCTTCCTCACAAACGCCAGGTCACTAACCAACAAAATGGACGAGATTCGGCTGCGGATCATCTCACAGAGGATGTACAGCTGTGTGGCGATTATAACTGAAACCTGGTTTCCCAGATTCTACAGATTCATCAATTTTCCAACCAGAGACAATAACATCCTGCAGTTTGCTCCCCGGATATTGCAATATCCAGGGAGCATACAAG